CGGGGAAAAATGCATTGAATTGCATACCTACCCTACGGGGACAGGGTAGGTTATGGCCCAATGTCCCCGGGGACAAAATTAAAGTTCCGGGAACATCTCTTTTTGAACTGAAACTTAAGCTTTTCGTAAAATACAATAATAAAAGAAATAAGAAATTAATAAAAGTTTATGGAATGTAGTGAGAAAAACCTCGAACAGAAATTGCAAATCTAATAAATGAAAAGCGACTGGGTTTGTGTAATAAAATAATAAAGAATTTGAATTTGAAGAAGTAAAATCACATGGTGGACGAGTAACGTTGGGGCCAATGTTGGGACGTGTGGAGTAAGCCTTAAATAAAGATGGCGATAAACAGCTGATTTTTAATCCTACAAATGTTCTTTATTCTCTTTTGTTTTTTCCTCAAATAATATAGCTAACTTTAGCTCTTTACATTTTCCCGATTTTCTTTTGTTGTCTAAAATATTGCATCTTTCATAAATAAATAAATAATGTCAGAATTTAAAAGATAGATAAGGTTGGATTGTGTTTATTTATAAAGCAAATACCTGGCTGCTTATCATTGTTATTTTTATCAATGACAATCGATCGCTTGAAGATGTTGGATAAGCTACATATAAAATGTTTTTATAAATTCCACAAGGTATGTGGGTCCCATAGTACCCATAAAGTAGAGACTTTTCTTATTTTGAGACTAGGTGTTGTTATTGGTGGTGAAATTTCGTTAATTAACATTGATTAATTAATTTAACGAAGTTGTATAATAAGTAGGTAGGTATTTGGTTACAATTAAAGGCGTTGAAACACAACAACTTTTCTGTATCTAATAAAAGAAAAGCCATTTTATTTTGTTTCATTAAATACATAAAAAAATATTACATTCTTGTTGATATTCTTCATCACTAGGTGCCGATGCGATAAATGTCCAACAGTCTTCGTATATTTTCAACCTTTACTTGACAAAGAGTCTTGAACAAAAGAGTCTTAATTTAGTAAATGTTATGTACAAAAGCAGGTACATTTTATAAAAATTAGGTAAGTATTTCTCAGCTAAATACATAATATGTATAGCGTGTCAGTTATTAGAAGCTATGCTCATTTCGTCACAAAAATGCACTCATACTAAACCGTGTACCGTTTTGCTGCAATACGGAAGCCATTACAAGTAACGCGTTTGCCTACAATATGCATATTATAATTTATAATATACTTTGGAATATTTATAGCTGGACTAGAAAAAATAATAACTCATCATTTTTCATGATTGTCTTCTATTTTATGGCTATACGACTTAATATTTTATCATAGAGATCAGTTTGGATCTTTAATAAAAGATTAAATAATTTAAATAATAGTAATATCTAATACCTATGCAAAATTGCGAAATAGTGAATGAATGTTTGCAAGTTTATCGTGGGAATAATGATTATAAATTTTTTAATAAGTAAGTTTTTTATCTTGAAACTTGTCATGATACGGGACTATTCCCACCTCTCGTTCCCACCGCTGCAACTCCTGTGTAGCCAGGATCTACAGCTTGACCGCCAATAAATTAATCCAACCGGTGAAGGTCAAGTTTGTCTCGGGGGAAAGTAAAACTGTCATTGGACCCGTAAATTGAATGTTAAACTTGTCATGATAATTCAGTGGAAGTCCTTTTCGGCTTTTTAGACAAGGTAATTAGATTGCAGTAAAACCATATTTTGACGTTTACTTTTTACTTACTGTGAATATTAAGCTTTCCTTTGAAAATGCCCTCATACTCCTACAAATTGAAAGTTTCTTTTACATTTTACGAAAGATAATAACCAGATGACGCTGTTCTCAAGGCTATGCCTGGCTTAAAACCTGTTTACCATAGACAAACCTGAGACGGTCTGCTTTATGGGCTACGTAAACCTTATTAAAAGGTTGTATTAAGGTGACAAACAACAAGATTTTGTATACCTACTCCGTGTACCTACTTACGCCCGTATTCACAAACATTACTATGAAGTCTCACAGTGCGCGTGGAAGCATAGGGTCTCACACGAACCAATCACAGAGAGATTCAACGCTGTGCGTTCGATTTGCTGCTTCAATTAAGCAAGCATCGTTTGTGAATGCGGGCATTATTGTTATTTTTATCCAACAAAATCTCTTGGCCTGCATCTCACAATTCTCTTATGAAAAGTGATGATGGCTTCACTAATCCTCAACCGCAAAAGAGCTGGCTTTATTACCTCCAACTGCTGAAACAACATACTGTTTACATTATTGTTATAGCGACTTACTTAGGTAAGATGACGGTAGCTAGCCAGGCAGTGTAAGTCCATAATCAAACTCTACCTTAGCCAAAAGCAGAAAATTTTGCCCTTACTGACAATCGAACCCGTAACCTGTGTTTCTGAACGAGGTGATTATTAATTTAACTGCTAGTTTGAATATTTAAAAAGTTTTTAAAAAACTTCCCCTTCTGCAGTCAAGTCAAATATTTTAATCATTACAGCCACAGGCAGTTTGTTATTTAAATATTTCCCCGCAAAGGTATTAAAATGAACTGTATTCGTGAGTAATTTATCGCGGAAGTAGTTCAAAGAAACCACAAAGTCACAGCTCAAAAGTGTCAGCCAGTGCTTTCTGATCAGAAATCACATGCATCTTTAAAATACAGTTTTAAGGAATCTATTTTTAGATGACATAACTGTATATGTTACTCTTGACTGCCAAAATCAGTCAAAAGTGGTTTTAACTGATGCCCTTGATCAAATCACTTTTGACAGATTTTTCCAGTCAAAAGTGGTTTTGAACACTTTATGATTATGAGTTTTGACTGTAACATATTTATACATGATATTATTATATTACACTCGTTACCTAAAATATGAACTAGTTCCTGTAAATTGAAATTTAGATTATTCAACAAAGTGACTAGCGTACGTCCCCTTTGCAAAAACTGGTATATTATAATCTATTACATGGCGTACCTAAACATGAATCACTCTATCGGTGATATCTACATGAAAATCCGTACAGTAATTATTGGGTTTATCGTGGAAAGATGCAGCGGAAGACTATGTTTTATAAAATGTAGTTAAAACAAAAGCAATAACTGAAAATATCAATTTAACCTGAAAATGCATCGCCAAGTTAAAAGCCAGAGCAAATGAAGTCGTAATGTGCTAAAATGGGTCTAATAACCCCATTAGATGTAGGAAATGAGCCTCATATAGGTTAAAGGTCTGGTCTGAAGAGCAGGTCGATAACCTAATAAAGGAGTTCAGATCGAAGCGCCATCTGTGTCACGAATACAGCTAACAAGGCATTATTGTGTAGGTATTTTTTTAGATGTCATTTATCAGTTACTAATGTTAGGAACTTTTTAATATTGACTGTGTAAAACCTAGTTAATGGGTATTTAGATCTGTGTTTAAAATCCGATGAGATTTTTTTAAGATGCAGTTGCGAACAATTGCATTATTTTGTTTGTAGGTTTCATTCATTTATTCAAAGCTTTGCTTCGTTGGTTGGTTGGTTGGGTGGGACTGATTTAATAATTGACAAAATTAGAGTCAGGTATGCTACAGTCAATCTTGTCAAAGTAAAAAAATCTGGTCGATTAAACATCATAGCTGGTTAGAATCTAAATTTAATAATCTAGAATCTAAGGCTGACTTGCACCATCTTACTTTAACTTTAACAAACGTCAAACATCTGTCAAACTCCATACAAAAAACTCCGGATAAATGTTATAGTTACGGCAAAAGTAGGTAAGTTGATGCAATTTAGCCTAAATGTAGAGACTGTTTTGTCTGTAGCTATGTGCTGAATAATTTTGGTAGCTGTTCAAGGTCAAAACAATACACAATAATTATTTTGCTAACTTACGAACATATTCAAAACTTGAGTATTTACTGAAATGGCTGTTTTGTACAGACTATGTCCGAGTTAAAGTTAACCGTATGCAACAACTAACAAGTAAACTGGAACGGTAAATTGAGTTAAACGCTTTATTGCTCTATTACACGTTCGTTACACATAATGTCGTGTAAGTTAGAAAAACTTACATCATCATATAAAACTGACACGTAATAAAAAACTGAAATAAAATCTTGAAAGCTGTATTTTAATAACTTCTTAACACCAGTCTTCCTATTGCTTTTTTCTTGACATCTGTTTTTTAATCTACTTTAATATTATAAATTCGAAAATAACTCTGTAGCTGTCTGTCTGTCTGTCTGTCTTGCTTTCACGCCTAAGCCACTGAACCGACTTTGATAAAATTTAGCATAGAAATAGTTTGTGTCCCGGGAAAGGAAAGTTTTTATCCCGTTTTTGAAACAGGGCCGCGCGCGATAAAGTTAGTGACAAAATTCCACGCGGGCGAAGCCACGGGCGGAAAGCTAGTGAAAAATAATTAAGGAACAGTCTGTTGCCCATTGTAAGAGAGCTATAAACATTGGAAAGACCAAGTGTTGAATTAGGACCTTTGAAATTCATCCATTTTTAAACTGAGAAAAAAAATCAGAGCTGTGTCAATCGTTTTAGATTATTTGCTTTAACAAAGGATTTTACTTCCTTATAATGTGTAAAAATAAGTTTAAAAACCAATAATGATTGCAATTCGAATTTTTATTTGATTAATAGTGACAAGTTTGCCGGCTATTATAATTAAAACAATGCGGCTTCGTTATTTTGACATTAATTAACATCTAATTAACAGTTTCCAAATCATCGCGCCTGCGAAACCATTTAGCCGGCTCACGGAATGTTATTACTACAGCCTAGAAACGAGCCATTAGCATGTCGCCTTGTAAACACCGCTGTGCCCAATCAACCTAATTTTATTAGCGAGAGTCAGGCTCGACCCAATTTTTTGTATTGACAATAAAATACCCGCGCCCATCTCACCCATCCTAGTCCAAATATAGATTCAAAACCGCTGCCGCCACGCGAGCGGTCAGTGCGTGCGCCCCAGACTGTGGTATCGATCCCACCACCGCCGGCCACCAGTCCCACCCGACTTCTTCTAGTCGGCCATCGCCCTGCGCTACAAACACACCACCAAACGCGACAACAAAAAACACCCAATTAAAAAAACAAACTGTCACTGTCAAAATCCGCGCCAATTTTTTTGACTCGATCGCGTGATCGCCCCGCCAAATTTTTTCGCAACTTTTTTACGCAAGTTTTGTGCCAGTGCCGTGAGAATATAGTGCCTAAAGTGTCTAACACTAACACCTTTGTTAATTGAACGCGATGAGGTGATTCATACTGCCCCAGTTGTTATCTCAATTTGCAGCAACGTTTCATAATTGCGCCTCGCGTAGAATGTTGGAGAGACTGCGAAATGGAATGAATTTCTTGTTGTAACGATAAGCAAAAGTTAGCCAAGGCTTTCACCGGATGAATCGGTTATAACAATAGATTGCAAAAAGGAAATTATTATCAGCCGGCTATCAGATGCAAATTTTATCGGACCACTTATCTATTCCCCTCTAGGGAGAGCGAGAGGTTGGATATAGTCGTCTCGGCTGGCACACTAACCCGGCGGAGCGGAATAACAGAGTTTTCTTGCTGTTGCCACCTATCTATCAGCTGATTTAGTCATCGAGTAAGATAGTGGTAGAGAAAAACGCATGGGTACTAAACACGTCACTGTGGAATGAAACGTTGAGTCAGAGGAGGTCGGCGCATGCGCGGTGCGGACGCCAGCGATTACTTTTTTTGAGGAAGCAATTTTCTAAATTCAAAACCCCGCGCGTCTGTGCATAAAACGAATCGAACGACTTTTTTCGAAGTGTTTTTTTACGTAGATCCCTTTTGTGATATTGAGTGGTTTTATTGGTGTTTTTTACTGAAATGTTGTGATCTATTCGCTGATAATGGAAAGAAGTGTGCTGGCGGACACCAGGCACGTTCACTGGAGTTCTGAAGTAAGTGTTCGAGCATTCACCTTTGACCCTTGGGGGTGAGTGTAGGTAAACATTTTCGTGAAGCATTTTCATTCTTTGCCGGGCATAGTCTTAGTACTTTTTGCGTCTTAACTTAAACTTAAATAACCCTAAAGAACAATCCAGTAATCAATTTTACAGTAAAATTGGAAACATTTCATCAATTCATACGAATACATTAAAGCGTTTTACATTCTCTACAAACAATAAACAATTCTTTATTGTTGTAGAATAGTAAAGCGAGAAAGTATATTATTTATATTATATTATAAGCTAGCAATACTTTCTCACGTGACTCCCAGCTTGATTTCTCAGCTCAATCATATCGGATATCTCTAATTAAAAATATTTCAAATATGGTTTTAAATTTTTAATTCCATTAAGTTAACACCTACTTGCTTCATTAATTTAAGTATGAAATTAATTTATTAACATACAAATTGGTATTTTTATAGAAACTAACGAAACAAATGGAGTGTTAGCAAAATAATTATTTCCAATTCGTTTTGGTTTGTTAGTTTTTGTTAATTTATTTAATTATCTATACTTTATTGCACATAATAAAATTAACTTTGAAATGGAGCACTTATCGATTTTCTTTTTCTAAAATTAACGATTTTATTTGACAACAAACCACAGACAACGAAAAAGGTGAAGTTTTTAAATTGTTTATTGCATTTGTATTTTAAACAAGCTTAACTTTTTTGCTTTGCTTCTTGCCAGTATCAAGTAAAAACTATTATTAGCTCTAAATATAGGGTCATTATAAACATTATTACCTACTTTTGAAAAAAAAACTTACTTTTATAACTTTTAATGATGATGATTGTCCTCACGAAGCTGTCAATTTACTTAGATAAGTAATCACTTTGTTCTTCTATTTAATGTCCTATTACGACTTATTACGTAAATGCGTTGAAATTGCCTATTAAGTTTATGGATTTTATGATTTATCGGAAGCCCGGCTCGGCTACGCACTATTGCGTTAAGAATGGTAATAGATGGCGCTGTACATACTTTATATCGCGCTACATAAATAATGTAAGAAGCCTCTGTAATTATTTTTTCAATTAAATTACCTATCATGCGATTTTATTACCATTTCAAAATACCATAAAGGGGAACTATTATTTTTTATTAACGGCTTTCAACTTTTTTTTAATAATATTAGTAATTTCTAAAACAGCCGTTTGGTGTAGTGGTTCAGAACGGACTACTATGCCGAGAGGTCCAGGGTTCGATTCCCACAGAAATTGAAATGATGGATTCTAATTTCTGTGACGGGTCTGGGTGTTTTCTATGTATAATATGTGTGTATTTACAAAAAAAAAGTATTTAAGTATGTTTATATCCGTTGTCTAGTCCCCATAGTACAAGCTTTGCTTAGTTTGGTACTAGAGGCGCAGTGTAAAATATTCAAAGATATTTATTATTATTATGGCAATGGTCCCTTGAAATGTTCAATAGTTGATATATTTATTGTAAATGACTTTCTCATACATTGTACTGTACAATGTATGGCCTTGTCCGCAAATGGTTGGAATGTTAATAGGACGTTACAACATTAGTGGTATTACATACATCCTGGCATATTATGTACTGTAGTCCTTTACATTAGGAAAACTATAGTGTTTCTTCGTGACTAAACTTAGGATACTTATTGGTTTTGGAGATTTTAAAGATGAAATCATATCAAAGAAATATGTCTTACCAACACAAAATCTAACATATTGTAGGAATGTTGAACTCGGATACTTCTAGGGCATAATATCTTACTATTTCTATCTACTAACATTATGTTTGTTACTCTTTTACGTAAAAACTACTGAACGCATTTTGATGAAACTCTACAGTATTATTATTCATAGGATCAGAAAAGCATAATTTATAACGATCTGTCATGAAAACTGAATTTCACGGGGCAAAGCGGCGAGCAAAAGCTAGTAATGCATAAAGAAATTTAGACAGACTTACCTAATCTACCAATCAGTATAGTGAGTTGTAATTGCCTCAACTTAGTTTTACTCTAAGCCCGAACCAAAACAAAAAAGCATGCCAATAAAATCCGAGGCTTATCAGCCTCACAAAACAGTCACGGCCTGAAATATTTTGCCAGAACATCGAAGATAAATGAATGCCCTGAAAAAATATGTAGAGCGACACCATTTTTCAACGATATCATGATGAATGTCTATACTTGACATTTTAAAATGTACACAGCTGTGATAAATGTTATAACCACAACGAGGAAGTTCTGTTCTTTGCTTGCATCTCATCTGATGGAAGGAGGAGGCTGAAGATGAATGTCAAAGTCAAAGTCAAAATTTCTTTATTTGTTTAGACTAATAAATAGTTCTTACAAATCGTCATTTTGCTCTTAAGGAGCCTCTACAGGTCTCATAATCTTTTTACCCTACCAGCGCTTCGAGACCAACATTTGGCAAGTGCTGAGAAGAAGCGCCACAACAAACTCAGTCACCACTGTCTGCCGGTTAATATTATAAATAAATAGAAATAGTAGTAGTAGGTACATTCGATTCAGGAGCAGTTCACTGAATTTACCATGCATTCTTGAATGGTGTATCTTATAAGAATGGGTATACAATGCGGGAGTCCTCAACAATAGAGGATTGATCTTACTTCCGAACTGCAGACACTTACGCCCGTATTTACAAATGATGCTTGCTTAAGTGAAGCAGCAAATCGAACGCACAGCGTTGGATAGAGCTCTGTGATTGGTTCGTGTGTCACCCTGTGCGTCCACAAGCACTGTGAGACCTCATAGTAATGTTTGTGAATACGGGCGTTAGTATGCTATTGAAAGAAAGAAAAAAATATTTATTTGGTACTAAAAATAGAATGATACAATTTAATGATATTGACATTGTTATTATCGAGATAGAGTCAGCTGGACTACTCCAAAACGCTGTTTACGTAGTTTCAGGTCTACCTGTCACTGTCACTCATGCTGGCATCTCGCTTTGCATGAGAGGGATGGCAACATTCGAAACTTCGGCTAACGTTTTTCAGAGTAGCCCCGCAGGTAACTTCGACGATGGCCGAACGGTGAAGGTGTTGGACTGGCTGACTCGTGATCAGGAACGCGGGTTCGAATCCCTCTGCGCCCCTGGACTATTGTGATGAACTCTTAACACAAGCATATTTAGCTTACCACGAGGGGTTAACGGGATCATTAGTAGGTAATTTGTATTTACAAATTGCTTAAAAAAATTGATCTGACCAACTGAACTGCTACAAACCACCAACCATTTATTTTATTCTTTTCGCAAAACCTATTTCATGAATTTTGACGTCAGAATAGTGCGCAAATTATGCTATTATTAGTTTTATTGAAGTATACACGTTTGAAGTCGCAGGGAAAACTAAACTATCCAACAGGGGTGAATATTATTATACCAACGCAATCATTAAAGAAAAGGGTTTTCCAAGGTTCACCCCTTTATAGGAATGGAACAAAATTCCACCATAGCATGGTGACCGTGGGCGTTGCCCCATGACGAATGCCACACATTTTGAATGGTATATTTGTATGAAATATTGATCGGTTTGGACTTACGTTTACGTTACATTTATAACGTAACCACGGCTTGCGTTGATAAGAAAAAATAAAACGTGAAAACCAGACCAAATTCGATATCAAAATTTTCAAGAAAATCGGGAGTTTACTGTAGAAATTATTGAAATTATCCGATAATAATACTAAATTAAGTAGGCAGTGTATGTAGGCACCTCAAAATTGCGTCGCTTTCGTAATGAATAATTATTAAATAAGAAACATTTACATATTATGCTGTGTTAGAATTGGGTCCAACTAGGTAACTCCTTAACTTTAAGCTGAAAAAAAAGACTCGTTCATTTTAGTGGTTCTCTTTCTACCTATAGGTTCTACAATCAACCTACAAACATTATGTTCACCTGAAAGATGGTCCCCTTTAAATGTGCCACTTTAAATAATCCAATAATTGGGTTCCTTGTCTCTTATGGGAACGAACTCGCCACTGCCTTATTTTACAAGTAAGGGGTGCCAGTAAATCAATACTTACGAATTCCTGAACTACTGACCTTGTGTGACCGTAGCAACCGAAAGTCCTTCCAAAATATTAAGTTACGATTTAATAGACAAGTGATTGACATAATTCGTGAAAATGTAGGTCATATGGTATTAGGTTACCGCTTAATTGCTTTGTTTTACTTGGGTATTCATTTCAGTTGTAACCAAAGAGCAATGGAATGCCTCCTTGAATAATCCCCCCCAAAAAAGCTCACAAAACTCATTTACTTATGCAAGTAAGCTTTAAAAAGCACTTTTACACGTCCCAGTATTAACCCTACCACTGCTTCAGGACAATAAATGGGCCAGTGCTGAGAAGAAGCAGCGCAAGAAACTCAGTCACTGTAATAATTCTTTAACGACAATTTATTTTAAGTTTGTCGTTTAATGTTGACTTTTATTTTATACCAGGACTATTCCCAAAAAAGTCACATTTCCACATTTTATTGCATATTATATTGGTTTACATCAGCATGTTTTTTGCTCTGTAAATGTACAAGGCTGAAGTAACAGCCCGCATAATGAACTAACAAAAAATGCTATTATGTACGTTTTGAATTCTTAGATTATAATAGTATTCATACTGACTTAACTTTGTCTAACAGTTCCTGTAGATAGTCATATATTTTACCGTAGTATAGCCGCACGTTAAACTTCACACATGTCATCTTATGTATTGTTGTAACTGGTGCATTTACAACAAAAAATACTACCTAGTTACTTTCTGGATAGGAACATTTTACACTACACGAAACAAGAAAAAAAAAGAGTTTATACAAAAGATACAGTACAATAGGCGGTCTTATCGCTATAAAATAATCTCTTCCAGACAACCTAAAGGTCAATAATAGATTTCGCAACAAAAATTGAGCTTAAAATGGGACTATTCCCACCTCTCGTTTCCACCGCT